TTTGGTGCACATGGCAAGTCTTTCTCAGTATGTTGTGCCCTTCCTGACTCCTCAGTGGTCCTTCTCCAAAGCAGCACTAGGGCTGTTGGCACCTGCACTATCGCTACTGCTCTTGCGTGCTACGATACTTTCTGAATGATGGCAGTCTTTCTGCATTAAACATCAACAACTCTTTCATGTATGGCTCTGTGAGTGCCTGCCACACTATCAGGGTTGGGTGGGGCCAACACACCCTTCGGAGTCCCTCTTGGAGGCCTCAGACTCGAGAGCTGAAAGGGTTAACAGCACTCTAGGTTATCCTCCTCTCTTTCGAGTGCCCTCCCCTGTAGCCAGTTAGCTAGCAGGAGGGCTACCCTGTCCTCCCTGAGCCCCTGGCCCTTACGAGGAAGACTCCCTGGGGTACGTCTGCCGCTGCCTCTTCCTGCCTCCCTGAGGGCTGTCCTCCCCAGGCTGACTGGCAGGAGCTATTGCCAATTGGGTGTGGCTGGCCCAGGCCAGCCTCCAGCCCTTCCCTCCACCTCCTTTCATTGGCAGCCCTGCCCCCCCCCCCCCCCCCACTGGCAGGAGCTATTGCCAATTGGGTGTGGCTGGCCCAGGCCAGCCTCCAGCCCTTCCCTCCCCCTCCTTTCATTGGCACCCCTGCCCCCCCCCCCCCCGGCTAGCAGATCCTGGTGCATTATGGCTCAGAGCCACCTCACATGGTGGCAGTTCCTCCCTTGCCTGACCCAGCTGGGTTGGGTGTGCCAGTGGCCTCTTGGGCAGGCCCGGCTTCTGCCCGCCTACTGGCTGGAGGGCACATTGACCAAATTGATGGGGGTGGGGGCCACATTTTGCAGGATGCAGGCCATTGGGAGGCAGACGGCTCCAGCTGGCCCATTCCTCTTCACCTCTGGTAAATACGGGGTGCTGAGGCCACCCCCAGAGAGGGTCACTTGACAAAGAAGAGAGTCACCGGCCGCCAGGAGAAAGAGACAGGAGATGGGCAGTGTTATCACTTGTCTTTCTCCTCCCATACCAACAGAAGCCCTTCAAAGACAGGGGATCGACCCCCAAGCTCATAGCCCCAGAAGAGGACAGGTAGCGATCCGCTGAAGTGACAAAGCAACCTTCAACACCCCAAAGACAAAATCCCAGTCCCCCAAAGGTAAGGAGGTACAGGCAGAATACATTCCATAACGCAGTGGGGAAGGTCTCGACAAGGGTGGCTTGGGAAGGCACGCAGAACCCTTAAGTGACAAAGGTCCATTGTCCTTGGGGATGCAAACGGCAAAGGTATGCACATCCCATCATCCATGCTTTCTGCTTTCTGCTTTTGGGGGAGGGTGGGGGAATGGTGCTTGCTGCTTTACGTTTTTAATGCTATTCGTATCACAATAGGATTATGTCACTTTTCTTACGCTGCTCCGAAATGAAGTTTTATGGTTCTGCTTCTTTTTATGTTTTGGATGATCTTGTGCTTTGGTTTTTACAGTTCTTTTGGTTTTTACAATTTTACCATTTACAATTCTGATCTCGTGCTTTGGTTTTCACAGTTTACAAGGCGTTGGGGGGCCTAAAATATCTAAAACGAACAAAGTAAATAAATAAAATAAAGAGGACAATACCAGAGAAATCTAAAAAGTTTCTATCCAGCTTTTGTAAGGGAGTTTTATTTATTTAGTTAGATATTCATAATCCCACTGTTCTTCCCAAATGGACCTAAAGGGAGCTTATTACAGTAAAGAAATGCAATACAGACAACTCAAATCAGCAACAACAACACCACGAACTAAGGCTTGAACACACACACACAAAGCTGCCTTATACTAAATCAGACCATTGGTCCAGCAAGGTCATCACTGCCTAGTCAGACTGAGAGCAGCTCTCCAGGGTCTCAGGAGGAGGTCTTTTCACAACACCTACAATATGATCCTTTTAGCTGGAGATGCCGGGGACTGAACCTGGGACCTTCTGCAGGCCAAGCAGATTCTCCGCCAATGAGCCATGATCCCTCCCCCTACATGAGGCCGCCTTGGACTGAACCAGACCCCTGGTCCATCAAGGTCAGCATTATTCAGACTGGCAGCGGCTTTCTAGGGTCTCAGGCAGAGGTGGTTCACATTAGGTGTCACTTGATCTTTTCAGCTGGAGATGCCGGGGATTGAACCTGGGACCTTCTGCATGCAAAGCAGAGGCTCTTCCACTGAGCCACAGACCCTCCCAAGTACTGACTTGGGCCAATACTGGATTCAGCGACTGGCTCATCTCTGGCAAGCCCTTTGGCTTGCGCCTCGGATCACATCCTGGAAGTGAACAGAAAGGGAAGGCACCTGTTGACAGGTGGAGCAAGAGACCTCTTCAGAGCACAGACACTGCAGCAGGAGGGATTTCGGGCAAGATGGACAGCCAGCTGGTGAGTCCTGCCTGTAAGAATTGCATGGACCCCGCTTGAAGGAATGAATGTTGGGAGGGGGGAGTTTTTTGGTACTTTAGTGGTAAAAAATGTTCAAGATTAAATGAAAAATGAAACACTGGAGGCCAAAGTAAAAGTTTACAGTGGGCCGTCATGTTTCATGCAATGACATCTGTTATCTGGGTGGGCATCTTTTCAGGACTTTTCAGAACAAAATACAATGTCCCACTTTTTTTGTGTGTGGTGTTATAGCATCAAGTGGCCATTTCTCTCAAACGTATGTTTTAAATCCAAACGCTGCAATATCAGCCTCCTCTTCCACTTGAATGATATTCAGCCACTCGTCAGTTTTCGCCCACACTGAACAATGAACTTTCAATGCACTCTGTAACTGGATTTTACTGTGGGAAATGGCAAAAACTGCCTGCAAAAAACCGCTAAAGTCCATTGAAAGTGCATTACTCAACGTGTGTCAAAGTAGGATTTATCGAAAAACAAGTGTGATAACACAGTACACTGAGATCATGAAACAAACAAGCACTGTACAAATAACGCAGACCAAGTAATATGCACAAAAGTAAAATGTTTATGTAACAAAATAACACTATACTAGCAAGGAATAACAAGAAACCACATATATCAGTAATAGCAAAATTACATCATGTAATACATGAGTACATAAGTAGTACAGAGGAAACAGAAGACAGACGAAGACTCCGGATTTCACTCTTTGTTTCGACAGCTCTTCTTCAAAATCTTCATTTTACTTCATAAAGCACTCATAAGTGTACAGAAGCCTTCTGTTTCCTATGTACTACTTATGTACTTGTGTATTCCTAGAAATATACTAGAAATATACTAGAAAGGAATAACAACAAACCACATATACCAGTAATAGCAAAATTACATCATGTAATACACAAGTACATAAGTAGTACAGAGGAAACAGAAGACAGACGACGACTCCGGATTTCAATCTTTGTTTCGACAGCTCTTCCTCAAAATCTTCATTTTACTTCATAAAGCACTCATAGTGTACAGAAGCCTTCTGTTTCCTATGTACTACTTATGTACTTGTGCATTCCTTTCTAGTATAGTGTTATTTTGTTATATGAAAGTTTCACTTTTGTGTATATTACTTGGGCACTCTTTGGTCTGCGTTATTTATACAGTGCTTGCTTGTTTCATAAAAGTAGGATTTATCAACAGCCAACAAACAGAATGCGGGATGCCTGGCACCACCTGAGCGTGTTGGGGAGTGTTCCCACATCCATGCTTAATTCTATTATATCATCAAACATTTGCAAATCACAAAACACCAGAGATTACTAAGAATTTTAACTAATTTAAAAATGAAGGATAACATGTGGGAACCCCCCCCCCCCCAATGTTATTAAATTCATATGCCAACCGACACGCCTGGCAATAGGGGCACAGAGCACCTGTTCATGAGGACAACCCCATTCACTTCGATGGAGGGGGGGCACAGTCACCCCTTCTCTGGAGTGAGTGGCATCCTGGGAACCGTTTCCCAGCAGCCAGCCCCACTGAATTCCGAGTAGCCCTGCTTAGGGTGTTCCCCAGTTTTTAGTTTTTCAGGTACACAAACACCCTGTCCTTCAAGAGAGATGGGGATGCTCTTTCCCCCCCTCCTCTTGGTGGTTTTACGGGCCTAGAAACTCAGCCACATCCTCTTGAACTTAATAATGGCATGAAATCTGTTCCTTCAGTGACTCTGAGAACAAAACCATTGCTTGCTTAACCTTTCAAGCTCAGACCCCCAATTCCATTATTAGTTGTTCTAAGAGCTCCATGGAGCCATGATACACATAGACACAGGAAACTGCCTTGTACTGAATCAGACCCTGGGGCCATCGAAGTCAGGACTGTCCGCTCACAGATTGGTGGCAGCTCTCCAGGGTCTCAGGCAGAAAGAGGTCTTTCACATCACCCACTGCCTGGACATTTTAACTGGGGATTGGGTCTGAGACCTTCTGAATGCCAAGCATGATGGCTAGATATAAAAGCTAGAACATAAATACATTAACATAATTGACGATTCCTCTAACATGTTGCTTAATGCACAGAGCAGCGTGAACGGAAAAGGTTGGTTTGTCAGTCAAGGTCAACAGTCGTCTCACCCTAACCTGGATATAGCCCAGGCAAGCCCAAACTCATCAGATCTTGGAAGCTAAGCAGGGCTGTCCCTGGCAAGTATTTGGATGGGAGACCTCAAGAGAATACCAGGGCCAGGAGGCCAGAGGCAGGCTATGAAGCCACTTCTCTGAATGTCCTCCATGCTCCCGTAGGATTTGCCAGAGGTCACCATGACTCCCAGGCCACACACACACACAAATACAAAAATACCAAAAGGAAAGAAAGAAAAGAACAACAGTCATCTCCGTGTAAGACCCTCACACCATCACCTGTACACCGAGACGCGGCAAAATGTGTTGTTAATCAGTTTGAATGATTAAAGTAAGACAGTTAGGCGGCGACAAATCTTTTAATTTGCTAGCACCCTCACGAGAACACGCTTCAAGCATTGTACCCCTTTTGGGGTTACAGTACGTTGGCCCAAAGGAACCCCGTTGCTGCCAGTTCTCACCTTCCCGCTCTTTTTTTCTCCTCTCCTTCTGCCATGTGGTGGATTCGTGAGGGAGACGATAAGCTGCGGTTTCTGCCAACCAGAGGGCTTTTGATACTGGAGCGCTGCGTGTGCCTCCTCTCTGCGGCAATGTTACTGGCGACCTCCAGTCCTCGGATGTAAACTCCGGTGTATCCCGGGTGGTGCTGTTCACAGTGGCTGCTGCTCTCGTGTCGGGTCAGTTCAAAGCTCTGCGTCTTCTTCATGATCTTCTTTAGTGGGTGTTTTCTGTGGCGGGTGGTGGGCATTTGGACCGGCTCTGAGTAGCAGGTGGAGATGTTGTCCAGGTCCTCGGAAG